CTCCTAAATTAAGGAATTCACCTTTGATTGTCCCATTGAGTCCTGCTACCCTCAGTCCCCAGCAGTTGGCAACAACAGAGTAATCTCTGTCCTCATTTGAAATGATGTCACCATAGACTTTTCCTTGTATTGTTTGCCTCTTCCTGGTAGTGAGGCTTCTGTTCATCTCCTGGAGCTGGATGCTTCTATCTAGAGAGGTTTTGTAGCCGGTTCTGGTACATTAATCCATAGACTACAGCAGGGGATAACTTTCAAGAGCTGCTTGTGACCATAACAACATTACTACAACTTAGCATAGTCATCGCTGACCTCCTGGACAGGAGAACATTTGGCCGTTTTTTCAGTTAGGTAATTATGTTACAAAGATAGCCTTTGGATTTTGAAATGTGTGAAATTGGATGTGAAGCATCATGGATTGCTTGTGGCTACAACAGGGAGGATGGGATACTGGGATGAAATTAGTATCTGGCTTGGGATTCCTGCCTGGGAATGGATCAAGCAGCTGAGAGTACTATCCCAATAGAAGTTCCTAGCTATGGTAGCACAGCCTGGTGGGCCTGGCATAATACCCAAAAGCATAGATGCTTTTTTGTCATGAGTTCATCACAATCTGTCAGCACCTTAGGGGCCAATCTGGTGGGTAATCCAGTGTTCAGAGTTCTTGGTGGAAGTAAGAAGGGGCTGGCCATCACATGCAACCCATTGCCAGGCAGCAAGAACTTAGATATTAAGTAAGGGCTCCAAGGAAGCACCAATTCTTAGTGGGAATTGAGACAATGATAGTGTAGCCAGCAGAAGATATGAAGTTGAAACCATGGTTAGATTAAGATAGCAAAAACATGTTAAGGGGCAAGGTGACTATTAGAGATTATGTTTGCAAGAGGGTTTATCCTAATGTCACAGGATTTCTTTTCTGACTAAGGTTAAGCAGGTGTTGGGACTAAGGAGGACTACTGCAGTTCTTCCTGACTCCCTGGACACTAGATCTGGAAGGAAAACTTTACTCAATCTCCCTTGAATGTTGAGGTTGACTGAAGCAGCTATGTCATTTTTGTATCTTTGTCAGGATTTGAGCAGGAACTGGACATTCAGGGATTCACTGGGGAGAACTGATGACTGAAAGCCAGGAAACCAAGGTTGGAGCTGTCACTGGGGGTCTGGTGGAAGACATAGGTTCTTTTTGCTTTGTGTATGTTTGGTTCTTCTGTGGTTAAATGCATATTTTCATATTTTTATAGCTTCAAAGTTAGAGGAGGAAAGTAGTGGTGATTTTAGAGAAAAGAAGAAACTCAATGTGAGCTGTAGCTGTACAGAAAATGAATGGTCTGCAGTGGCCAAGACTAAACATCTGCAGAGTGGCATAGTTGTAAGAACTGAAATTGTTTTGCCTGAGCAAAGTCAGAAGCTAGATAGACAGATAACATGAAAAAATCACATGAACTAACATGCCTATTCTGGCTCTTACTATGCCAAGGAGACTTCCTTTTCCCATTGGCCATGGTAACACTAGTTTCCTCAGCTCTTAGCCACTCCATCTTCAAGGAAAAAATACCTAGAAAAGCCTGTAACACTAGAGAAACTGCAGCTAGTAAACTCTCCATTCAAAATGTCTTTCCTCTCTGTCTCTGGAATGAGACAGCAGCAATTTCCCCTCTTTGTGGCTTTGCTCCTGCTTTTTGGGGGCTCAAGTTTCATCACCCTGTCTCCCTCTTCCCTAGTCATTTCTGTACATCCAATAGTTCAAACCCCAGCTCAAATGCTAATTCTTCTGCAAAACCTCTTTAACTCCCCTCCACACGTACACTGTTTGCTCCTCTAACATTACTGTCTGCATAGGTTGTGCCTGCCTGGAATTAACTATTTCCCAGGTGTGGATTCTTTTCCTTCATGCAGTTATAAACTGCTCAAGAAGAGAGAGTGCTGAATTCTCTTCTTCCAATTTTCCACAGTGTCTCACCAAAAGATGGCCAGGCAGCCCCCTCTCCCACTGATGAAATGGGTGCATGGATGAACTCACTAGCTCCATTTGTCCATCTATCCACCAACTAACTAAAGATACCATACAAGGTTTGGGGTAGCTCATGGGTGTTGAGAACCTGCAGGTCAAGGAGTTCACATGCACATTAAGACTTGGGTTGCAGAAAGAAAGACAGCAGTGGTGTCAAAATTTGAAGATGTATGACATATTCTGCATCATTTTTCTCTTTGCTACATCCAATCTAGCAATACTGATGCATGGAACCCTCACTTCTCTGAAAGTTAGGTAACCCCCTTTTGAGAGATGCAGGAACTCTGGCTCAGAGAAGTCAAAGATAGCATGGGCCATAGTTAAGAGGCTAGTGGATACCAAGAAATGTCTCAGTATCTCAGCCCTTGAGTTCTGCCTCTTCCCATTTGATCCTCCCATTCTGGCCCCTGCCACAGAATCTCTGCATTTCTCCACTTAGATTTCAGAAAAGTCTTATATTTGACTACATGTCAACATTCACTTCATTCCTCACCAAATCTGGAGCCCTTTGAGACCCTTGGGAAGCCAGCCCAGGGCCATGTATAGAGAAAATGCCTCCTGAATGCTCAGCTGCTGTTTCTTGGTGGTCTTACTTTAGAAAGTGCTACAGAGGGATCAAACTAGAGATCAATGATTCCCAGCTCTGGGGTGGATCTACGTGGTAGAAGCAACATTTATAAACTCCTTTCAATGTGTTTGTGTTCCTCTGTTCTGCGGACCACAAAATAAAACACAGTTTATTTTTTCATTTTCTTTTTTTGTCTTTTTTTCTTTCTTTATTTTTTAAGAAGTTGCCTGTTAACCATATAATTTTTCTAAGCCTGGGTCTGGCATCATAAGGCTTAGCTCCCATTCACAAAACCTAGCTTTAGTTAGATTTTCTGATTAGCTATTCCATGTTAACCTGTCAGTCACCCTCTCTCCACAAGTGAAGATACCCCCAGAAAGGTTAAAAGAATCTCCAATCTCTTTCTTAAGCATTCTTTAACCCATAAACAACAAGATGTGGCCAGGGCAGACTGACATACAAATACACACACACACACACACACACACACCACACAGCATAAGTTTGCTTGCCTCCTTTGTGGCTGATTGATGATCTTTGATGCCTGGATGATGTTGATGATGATGATAGTAATAATGAATTTCTGCTTATGCCTTAATAAATAGTTATTGATATTGGGTGGCTCCCTTACTGACTCCTCCAGGACAAAAGGGATACAGCTGTTGGCTCTCTGACAACCCCTTCACAAGGTGGGGTGTTGGATAGGAAGTCTGAACACTGTGGTTAAAACAAAACCCAGGATTTCTTAGTGACAGCTTACTGCAGAGTAAAACTCACTGGAATGCCAAGCTCTACACTTCTCATTTCTAGTCCTGGTACTTTAGATAATTATCTTTGTGACCTCCCTTAAATTCTTTCCATCCTAAGAGTCCATTTTTCTACCTGTAAATTAGTGGGTGAGGAGTGGGAGATGGTAAGATAAAAAATGCTCTTGAACTCTGGAAGTCTCAGGGCACTGTTGTGTTCCTTCAGGCATCTCTAGGGAAGCAGTTCAGTTGCTCTAGCTGTGATTTAGGTGTCTCCAGATACCTTCTCCAAGAAGCAACTTAAAGCTCCCAAGATAAAAGGCAGTTTGGAAACCTTCAGCTCCCCAGCCTCTTTTCCACTGCAACTCCAAAGACTGAATTCCATCTCCTTCTTCCTGCAGCAACAGACTCTGGGGTAATTAATCACTTTGCAAAAGCTTCCCCATCCTAAACCTTCTTTGGGCACCATGATCAGTTTCCCCATTGACCTGCTGCATCCAGTTCCAAAACTGGTACTCCCTGGGTGTTACACAAAAGTACAGTGTCCCCCTAATAAGATGGATGCAGAACTCTGAGGTCATTGCATGCGTTTTTGAGGCTGATGGCTGGGCATTGGAAAAAGCGGAACATCAGCATCATGCTGGGTTCACCCCCATCTAGACACCCTCAGTTGGGTTCTCAGAGACTCTACAGTATCTCCTCTTGATTCTCCAACTGTCCCCTGCCTCATTGTCCTTGCATAACCCCCAAAGTTTTGCAGGCCCTTCCTTGCAACCACTATCCTTCCACGGCCACCCAGGTCGCTGGTACCGAATGAGGTGTCTAGGTTGTCAATCAGATCGCAGGGCTGTGTGTCCAGTCTCCACCGAGGTTGTCACAAACCCTTCTCAGTTCCCTGTGCTACAGCTTCTAGGTAGTGGTTTAGGCACCCGTGAAGAATTTAAAAGGTGAATAGAGAAAAGGGAGGTGAAGGCAGATCATGGGAGTTGCTGAAAGAAGACCATCTAAGTCTGGGCTTCCAGCTGAAGTAAGAGGGAGGAGGGGGAGCCAAGAAAGAGCAGCGAGAGGAGGGGGCCTGAGACTGTAGCAGTGAAGACTTTGGCAACCCCTTTGGCTCCCCAGCCTGGATGGACAGGGCGGGGGTTCAGCGGCAGCTCTCCATTGGCTCTCTCGTGAGCCCCTCGACTTTCTATAAAGGGCGGTTGCAGAAGGCACTGCCCTCACTGGCTCAGAGCACAGCGCCTGCCGGCCTTAGACTGGTTCACCGACTGCTTCAAAGCGACAGAAATTTAGACCGAACGACTTCCAACTGCAAGAAGGAACGGTGTTGGGCGGGGGGTGGGGGGTGGGGCTCCTGGAGCTGCTGTCCGGAATTCGGAACCTGTACTGCCTGCGCACCCCAAGCTGCGGAACGGAACGTTTGGAGCCAGCCGCATTCGCCAGCCCCTCGACTGCCCAGCTCAGCTCAGCTCTGCGCACTTGCCCACTCGGAGCCGGTCCAGCGGTTATCTTTTTGCTTTCCTTCTTGCCTGTCCCCTCTGCACTGTCTTCCCACCCACCCCCACCCACAGCTGCAGGACGCTGAGCAGCATTCGCCCAGCGCTCTGTGGAGACCTCCCCCTCCTCTTCCCCCGCTCTCCCTGATCCAGTAGCTTAAGGATTTTGGTTTTCCAAGGGGCGTCAAGCTGGAGGCCCCAACCACCGAATCGCCCCAAGGGGCTTTCCCGAACCCCAGCACCATGAGCTATGGGGACGAGCTGACCCCCGAAGCTCTGAGTGTGCCGAGTGGGTTTGATGATCTGATCACCTCCACCACCTCCCAGGTGCTGCAGGCTATTTCTAATGCCGCAGCTGCGGTTGGTAGCTCAGGCCGCGATAACGTGCTTTCCATGATCCATAAGCTACCTGACCATATCTCAAACATGGGCAACCTGGCTGACACGTCAGGTCCCATGGCTTCAGAGATGGTATCCCAGGATGAGCCGGTACAGTTCTGGCTAGTAATAGGGTACACCATAGTGGTATTTGCTGCCATACTAGGCAATTGGGTCTTAAACCATGTGATTATGAAGTACAAGAAGATGCACACTGCCACTGGCCTCTTTGTCGTCAACATCTCCGTGACCAACATGATGCTGGCTTTTCTCAGCTCTCCCTTCACCATGGTAAGCTGGATGTTGAGGAGGGCAACCCGGGGCTCGGGCCATGAGAGCAGAAACACAACTTTGCACTTGCAACAGAGAGCTGCATGGTGGGAAGGAGCGCTAAAGCTGGTAGGGTTGATTCGGAAAGTGCGTAGATAGATACAGGAATGGCTGACAGACGTTGTAAATGGTTTGGAACTTGGGGGGTGGGGAGCTACAGGCATGATTGTGATTGCGTTGCTGAATTAATCCCCTGCCTTAGCAGGGACTGAGAGATTTAGGTAGCTCAAGGAAGCAGTGGGGGTGGGTGGGGGACCTGTTTATGGTGAGCTTTGTTACAAAAACCTAGTCTGTTTACTCATCTTTCAAATGCAGTGCTTGGAGCCGAAGGTGGTTAGCAATTTTTGTGATTTGGGATCTGCGTCTTATACCTGGGCTGTTTCCGTGTGTGTGTCGGGGGGGGGGATGGAAAGAGCATGAAAGCTGCAGTGTGAAAATATTCACTTCCTCAGATAATAATGCCAGTAGCTTGATGAGGCAATGAGGTTTCTCTTCCTGTGTTTTCGAGCTTATAAGAGAGGAGTACCCAGGGCTGAGTTCTTGTGCCTCACTATGTCCTTTCTCCCACAGGTGCGCTATCTGTGTAATTCCTTGGTGTTTGGGAAGATGACATGCCACCTCAGTCGTTTTGCTCAGTACTCTTGTGCCTATGTAACTGTGTTGACCATGGCTGCTATTTCCCTGGATCGACATCGGGTATGTGTTTCCCAGGGAACTTTGGGTCTTATAAAGAGGTAGGTTTCTCTTCTAGATAGATGGAAGCAGCTGACAACACAAATAATTTAAAATGTTCTTTGAGTTCCTTGAGACAATCTATGTGAATAAAATTTTGCCTATTTTAGGAGGATTGCAAAATGTTACAGATTTTAACCATATCAAATCTTATGTAATAAGAATACCATCATCTTTGATATGTTGCTATGGAAACAGAGATACAACAATAAGAAAAAGATAAAAAAAGTGTCCTTCTCCTTTGGAAAACATTTTTTATTTGCTGCATTGCAGAACGAGCTAAGGGAGAAAAAAGATGAGTCAGAGGAGGGTGTGGCTTCAGGGCTGGTGGTGGGTTGAGTCTGGGAGGTGGGCTTGCAGTCTGTGAGTGAGAGCTGAGCAAATGAAGTAAAAAGAAATTGAAGATTGAGGAAGAAGGAGTTGGGAGGAGGGATAGAAGTGCCTTAAAAGGAAGGAGGTGGTGCCAGGGTGAGTAGCTGGGAGGGACTACATTGTTAATCAGTTGGGAGGGAGCCAGGAAACAAGTGAGGTGGGAGGAACATAGAGGGAGATTGAAGGGGTTGTGGCTGGAACCAGATTGAGGGGGGCATGGAGAAATCTAGTTGGTAAGAGATGAAGGAATATGGGAGAGGACCTAGTGGAAAGAAAGGAAGGAAGGAAAGGAGAGGAAGGAACAGAGGAAAGATTGACCATGGAGAGATCAAGATGGGAATGGATGGAGGAATAAGGGAAAGGGGTATAAAGGGAACCAAGTGGGAGAAAGGATGAAGGGGTGTGGAGTGCTCACCATCAGTATATGATAAAGAAAAAGTAAATTACACTTGGACATCTATCCCTCTTCTCCACTGAACTCCCAACTTGGAGACAGAAACTTTGAAATCAGTCCATTTGGATTCTTATCTTCCAATTGAAATGTTCCTCTCTACACTAACTGATTTTGCTCTTTCATGAAACAAGATGTCACTAATCTGTCAACAGAACTAGTACCCAAAGCACATTGCTTACCCACCTATCAAGGCTTTGCACTTCTGCAGAAGAATCTCAGTTGAATAATGACTAGTAAGTAATCTTAATTAAAATTTTTGAATTGGGCTGGGGTCTTTTCTTTCAGGTGATGCTATATCCCCTGAAGTCCCGAATTACTCCAATGCAAGGCAATGTTTGCATCATTCTCATCTGGATTGTGAGCACCTGTGCTGCTTTGCCACATGCCATTTACCAAAAGCGTTACCAAGTGGAGAATGGGTAAGAGGAACACAGGATGGCCAGTTTCTGGATTCTAGCAAGCTGTGACCCTGGAATCCTCATGGAATAAGGGGAATGGAATAGGGGCTGAAATAGCACATTTCAAAACATGGGTACACAAATGCATTTCTCTTAACTGGAATTTATTAAGAGTACCCAAGAGGTCTCATGGCAATGGGTTGTTAGGTATATCACTTTCTGTTTGGGGGTCAGTGAACCCTAAAGCTCCCTGGCTTATAACTCTAGTATTTAGTCCTAGCACAGGTATAAATAGCAAATATTCTCTTCCTTATGGCCTATCTGCCATAATAACACCTGGTTGTGAGGCATAGGAAAAAGGAAAATTAATTTAATGTTTCTCGTTCTCCATCTCTCTTACAACCTAGAAACATAACTGAAGAAAATGTCTGCCTTCCCAGTTTCTCATATACTTCAAAATCCACGTGGAAATACCTTGACCTAAGCACCTTTTTGCTCTTCTTCATTTTACCATTGATGGTGCTGATGGTCGTCTATGGTCATGTAGCCAAGAAGCTGTGGATCCATAATGCTGTTGATGACATCAACATCCACACCTACATCTGCCAGCGTGGGAAGAAGAAGCAGAGTCTGAAGATGCTGATGATAGTGGTGCTTGTCTACACTATCTGCTGGCTTCCCCTCAACCTCTATCTGGTGCTGCTTTCCAGTGAATCCATTTCAAGCCACAATGGTCTCTACTACTTCCTCCACTGGCTAGCAATTAGCAGTTCATGCTACAATCCTTACATCTATTGCTGGCTCAGCGATAGCTTCCATATTGAAGTTCAGAAGGTCATCATGGAAATCCAGAAGATGCTGCTAGATGGAATCAGCCGCCTGAGAGGGGAGCATCGCCAACTGAGATCTCTCCCACCCCCTCACTGCCCTGCTTGGGTGGACCCCAACCCTGGAGTGCCCAAATTCCCACGATTCAAAGATTTTGATGAGCTACCCAGTCCCCCTCCATCCCCAGAGGTGGAAACCTCCTTTCTCTACCCACCAGTGCCTAGAGTTTAAGCTGCCCAGACCGCGATAGATTATCCATCCTCAAAAACTCAGATAGGGTGGTACCAAAATAACTAAGTTTCATTCATTTTTCATGGCAGGGGGAGTGGAGGAAGGGGTTGGAACTTGAGGGGTGGGGGCCATGTAAAGAACCACGTGTCTCACTTGCTATTTCATTTTCTTCTGTCTTTTCTCCTGTTTCCTTCCTAAGTCTTCCTTCTCCTAACAGTGAGTAAATATTCGATATCCAGACTCATCAGAGATGTTTTTACATAACTCAAATGGAAGTTACACTCTGACTTGGGATCTCCTGAATTTCATCTCTGATTCTGGAGTGTTCCCTCCTCCATTCTTTGTGTGCCCACCTGGCCATGGCACTTGTCTTCTAACATCTTAGATATTATCTCAGGAGCTACAAGAGTCCCCAGAGAATCTTATTTATATTTTATTTAGATGGATAAGAGGTCAATATCTATATTGTATCCAAAATATGCCCAGAGAAGGGACAGAAGAGAAATGTATAGTTTCTGAAATGTAATTGGGTTCTCTGGGAACTTAGAGCTCCCTATAAATGCAAGTAGTCTTATCTCCTTATGGCAGAATGAGAATGAGAAATCTTACAGAAAAAGACAAGGCAGTTAAATGGCTCACTCCACATTACCTGGGTTATTTCTCCAGATTGCAAATTCAATAATTTGATGATAGCTTTCTTTTAAATACAGTGACGATTTACGTGCTCAAGTTAGTACTGCAAAATCCAAATAATTCTCCCAGTTTTTTAAAAGATGCATTTATTTATTTATTTATTTTTAGAGAGAGGGGAAGGGAGGGAAAAAAGGAAGGAGAGAGGCATCAATATGTGGTTGCCTCTCGCATGCCCCCAACTGGGGACCCGACCTGCAACCCAGGCATTTGCCCTGACTGGGAATCTAACTGGTGACCCTTTGGTTCACAGGCTGGTACTCAATCCACTGAGCCACACAAGCCAGGGCCAATTTTTCCAGTTTCTTGACCCTACATTTAACATCATACTTTGTCTCATGTAAACTTGTGCTGTCTAGTCTTGTCTTCGTTTTTTTTTCTGGAAAAAGAAAAAAATGTGATGTGTTCACTGTTGATTCATTTCCATCTCTCTAGCCTATGAGGATTTCAGCTCAAGAGAGACGGGGAGGAAGTAACTTTCTGCCATTGCCTTTCATGTGGAGACAATATTATTAAGGCTCTTTGGAGGGTATAGCTTGTGTGTGTCAGGAAGATGCCAAGATGAGGGTGAGTTTTCTTTTCTCCTTTTGTTGATTTCCTTCCTCATACCCTTGTCTTCACCCTTTTTATCTTCATTTTTCCCCTCCCCTCTATTGCTTTTCCCAGGCATCACCTTCTCCTCAACTTTCTCTGTTCCACCTTTCTCTTCTTCCTCCTACAGATTCCTTCCTTCCTCCCACCCTCTTTCAATATCTTCTTTGTTCCCCTTCATCCCTCCTTCCTCTACTTCTGCCCATCTTGTCTTCTCCCTTCTCTTTCACTCCTTTTCCCTTCCTTTAATTCTTTCCTTTTCTCCTCCCCTTGCTCATTATCCCTCCTCTTCTTTCACCAGCTTACACATTCCTCCTGAGTCCCTTCCTTCTTCAGCACCACTCCTCTAATTCTTTTTTCTTTCTTCATTACTCCTCCATTATCTATCTGTTTATTTCTCACTTCTTTGAACTCTGATGCATAGTTTAAATTACTGCTTTCTCATTGAATTTTAGCTATTATTCCTCAATTCCCTCCCATATTTCTCTTTTATCTTCTCTTCGGAATTAAGACTTCTCTCACCCTTAGTGGAAACCTGGGGATCTGGGAACATGGAGCCTCTGGATTTAAACTCTGCAGTCTCTACCCTGCTCCATAGGTGTTTGTGTGGGGATGTGTACTAGTCAGAGTGAATGGTGATCTCTGGTTACATTTTTTTCTTTTATATTTCTTTCTCATTTAACTTGAACTATCAGAAAGTGGCTGCCCATGGTGCCATCCTGGGGAATAGGATGGCTCACTGTAGGTTTATAGAGGAAATGGTACAGACTTAGGCCATAGCCTCTGTGTCTGTTGGGAAGTGAATACCATTCAGTGGTACTGAAGAACATGACCTAGTTTACTTTGGAGGAATTGTGCCCAGTAGGAAATTTTCTTCTCTAGCCACTCATGGTTGTTTTTAAAAAATCCTTTCTATTCTACAGCATTTTATTGCTCATTCTCCCCTCTTTCCCATAGTTCCACCCCAAAGAATCAAAATAACTTCAAAAAAATTTAAAATAACAACAATAACAACAAACTTATAACTGCAGGATAACCCTGGAGATTCTTAGAAGTTCCAAGACCAGCTAACTGGCTTCAGACTTTCACTGCTGCATTGGCTGTGAACTTCATAGTGACTGCCCAAACCCATTGGCTTTAGCAGTTTTAAGAACAAACTATCATCATCTCTTTAGAGTGTATGTGTGCTTCTGCTTCCATCTCTCTCTCCTCAATCATCTTCACTTTCTTCTCTTCATCTTAATCATTCTCTTTTTACCAAGGACATATTATTCAAAGTTCTTTGAATCCTTAAGTTTCCTCTGGAAAAGGGCAAGCCTGGGGCATGAAGCAGATTAACTGGAGTTCAGCTTCTGGTTAGTCATCCTACCTGGTGACAGCAAAAATTAGATTTTTTGAAGTCAGAACTCCAGCTATCTATGGAAACTTTCCATACTTGCAAAATCCTTTTTTTTAGATGAAGAACAATTTGAGGGTAAAGAGGTGTAGTTTTATCTCTGTTTCATTCTATTTTCACTGTAATGGATGAATCTTTGATCTCCTCTTCCTTTCTACCCTCACCACCAAAACAAAACAAAAACCAAAAATACTACAAAAAGAAAACAAAACAAAACAAATGAAATATATCCCCATGAGTACATGACTAAATATTTAGAGAAGTCCTAGACTAAGTAGATGACCACATCTGCCAGTGGCATCATTGTAAATTTCACATCCACCTTTCAGCTTCAGCTGTTTTTGAAATTAGTAGTCTTTGTGAGCTCTGCTGGTATCTTTTTCTCCCTCCTTTATAAACCCTCATTCTTCTAAGGACAGAGTTGTCTTTCTCATTCTCCTTTTGGCAGGATGGATAAATCCCAGGGCAATCAAGCGGACTGTCTAAGGCTCTGCCTCCACGTGAGGAGGACAGAGTGAGATTGCCCTGTGGTAGCCAGTGCTTCGTGGAGGAATTATACCTTGCTCTAATACGAGCTCCTTTACCTGCTTAGACTTAAGAGAAATTCAGATAAAAGAGTGCCATTGTAATTTAAATGACTATTGTGCTATTGTACGTTCACCTAATGTTCTCTCATTCCCAGGAAAACCCCTCCCTATTCCCACCTTAATCCTCCAAACAGTTAAACTTCCCCCCAGTAAGGCTGGAGATCTGGAATGTTTCATGTTTGACAGATGATCCAGCTTCAATGTTTGCTGCTGCCTTGACTTTACCTACACATCAGCTTTGGTGATGGACAGGATGCTTGAAGAATTGGGCCTCTCAGTAGTTTGAGGTTTTCTGGGGTTTGCTTAGATTTTTTTTTCAGCAGCAACTAATCTGAACTCAACATCCAGCTAAGTCTGGGGGTGCTACCAATGTAAGTAGTTTATGACTAGGGGGGCTTATTTGGTTGGAATATGGTGCTAATGAGCACTAGGTCTTAGGCTCTAACCCATGTGCAGCCATTTAGCTTTGTGGGTTTGAGCATGGTGCTAAAGAACTATGGGATTGTGGTTTCAAAACCTTATGTGTGTCTGTTTACAGACTGCACCACTCACCCGGGCCAGCCTTTTTCTGAACATGGGTTATCAGCCATCTGAAAGACCCAACAAAACTGTTCTTTGAGTAGCCCTGAAAATATCATTTTCACTTCTGGAGAAACAGTTTAAAGTATATTACCTAATGATAATGCGTTAGCAGTGTCATCTTCTTATCAGAATGACACCATTTTTGAAATGAATAGTTGGACAAAGAATAACAGCAATGGTGGATGGGAGAAATTGCCAAATTCTCCCCTTTTACACATCCAAATGCACATACCAACCTTTGTCCAATGTCATGTAACTGTATCTTGGTCCAATCTGGAACATTTGAAGAGATGCTTTGATGAGATTAAGATATACATACAGTTAATCCAATGTCCCACCTCACTGGGACAGGTTGGACTAGAGGAATTTATCCCCTGACACATACATCTGGAATGCTGGTAATCAATTTTATATGTTAATCACTTGTGTGTGTGTAATGTAGATTCACTCTTAGGTGTTCTGAACTGAAGACCTCTTTTACTGAGGATTCCCTCCCCTCTTCTTATCTTTGTATGCTGTCACATACACACTCATACATATGCATGCATTCAACATATACACAAGCACACACATATATTTGTATACCCCTACACACATGCCCATGTGTGAACACACGTACTCCCACATATATAAGCACACATACATGCACACACACAAAATATACACAGATTGCATTTTAATGATGCATATTTCAAATCTAAATTTTTAATTTTTAGTCATCCTTTCCGTCAATTATCTGTTTGAATAAATGGACTCTGATCTTTTCAATAACTTCACCATTTCTCTGGGTGATTACATGAATATTTTGTACATTGTTGTAGTTACTGACCCTAAGTTATTAAAATCTGTGCAGCACTCACATATCTGGCCTTATAACATGGTAAGTGTCCTACTAACAAATATCAATTGGATATTTATTATTCTAAAGAAAATATACTTTATTGTATGGTTAAAACACATAAAAACAAACCCCTAAATGAGTAGGAACTTGAATACATATGAGCATAAACAATTTATGCAGATAAATTACAAAATGTGCACAGAACATACACATATACACAGGCACACAAAAAATACACACACAGCTGCAAGAAACCCTTACGATAAAAGAATCTTGCTGATCCATGCCAGAGAAGAGAATAAATGCCTAAGTTGTAATTTTATATAGTAATTGGGAATTCACAGACATTGAAATCTGTGAGCTCAGATCCTTGTTAGGAAGAACAGAAGGCTAAACTTCATTTGCCTACCTTGTGAGGGATTTTTAAAACTTGAGTGTTAGTTTTGCTACAAAAGAGGTACATGCCTTAATATCAGCAAGTGACTACCTACAATCATAATTACAAATTTGGACCATCCACTTCCTACTTTGCCATTGCTGGAAGCTGTTGACATCTCTAGACTATGAGGCAGAGCCTCATTGATGAACACTGTTTTCCTCTGGGCCACGTGAGGAAGGAAAGGAGATGGACCCAGTCTGAACAGTTTGAGAGTGGGGGTGAAGTTATTTATTCTGATAACTCTTGTTCAGAGAGTTTTCTGTGTCTAGTTCAAACTTCCTTCCCTTGTAATAGTAATAGAACTATCGTATATGTGATGATGACTTTGTGATTCTTAAAATAAGATCTTTTGGTATTTTTCAATGTGTTTGTTGTCACTGTTTTCCCCCATACTGAAAAACTAAAGACTGTCAAGGGGTCTGGATATGACTGCAGATTTCGTTTGCAAATATGCTGGTGAATGGGTATATACTCTGAAAACAGCAAAGCACTGATTCAACTATAGTTCTGCAGTTTGGAAAGGAACCATTTTTATCTCCTAGGGAAAGCTTGATGCTGAAGGAAATAGCCTTATCTCAATGCCCAAGGTGGGTACTGAGGAAAAATTGTCGATTTCAGCTTGAAGTAATTTCCTTGACATAATAGATGCAGATTCTGAAGGAAGTGCCCACACTTAAATTTATGTAAATAGATATGTTAACTAGA